CAAGTTTTAGAGTATGCTCAAGCTGACGAGAAACATATCAACTACATAAAAATGAAAACATCGCCATAAAGTCACTTCAGGTCAACTTTGGGTAAAAATGGAAGAAGTTTCATTCGATAGAAGGTTATTTATTAGACGTTGACGACTCCTGAAAAGAAAGTTCCTACAACTTTCAGGATCCCATAAAGTTCAAATACGAAAGCATTTAAAACTTCAATCACCAGTATTACTAATGAGGGAACCTTTCGACGTGTTTAATCGCTTTTGAGCCAATGCTTGGCCCACAAGTAGAAGATCTCCAGACTAGAATAACCCTAAGTTGGTTCGGTTGTCTGAGCCTCTGGAGACTAGTTATGAATTATTCAAGTTTTTTGAAGAAACCAAAATATCGGCTCAAAAGCGATTAAACACTGCCAGAGGGTCACGTAAGTGAGATATGTTTATAAACTAATCTTGAAACTCTAACACATTTTTGCATAAAACCGAGTTGGGATTTTTCAAAACCATCTAATTACAGACGTAGTTCTTACGCCATTAAAAGAACACAAATCATGGTTCATTTTAACTATAAATAAGTTTAAATTTCGTCTTTTTCTTCACTGTTTGTCAATCAATACAAGATCTCTGATTTCACTAGACCTTACAATCGCGTCCTCTTCGCTATCTTTTCAGTTGTACAGTTAGAGAATATATCCTGTAGATAACTTTTGAAGATCTATAGACTGGACTGATCAGATTTTTAAAAATCAAAATCAAACGTACTGAAACAGCAGCAAGGTAGTTTGAGGAAAAGCCATCATAGCTAAAAGTACGCGAGTTGAAATAAGAAAAAATATCGATTCTTCTACCACTTAACACGAACTGGTCTCATTTTGCCGACTTTTATTGATGTAAAAAGTGAGCTAAGCCGTGCGGAAGCACGTTAAGAGTAGAATAGACCTCCAAAGATCTAATTTTCCACAAAACAACTTCATTTGGGCTCATTCACTAACTTCAAAAATATTGTATACTCCTAATGGCTGACAATGGTTTCTAACTGTCAGAGTTAAAAGTTACTAGCATCAAATAAGAACACCGCTTCTTCCACTAAAGCTCTTAGTATATATGTGGTGTGAACTGGTAAATTACATTCGGTGTCTTGCAAACATACCTAGATGTCCGAGATATCTATATGACCACGTGAGCGCAGCTAATGCATCGGATAATGATTTTTCATCCGGTGAATGAAGTGCATAACCCAAGTGAATGATCCCATGTGTTGCTTCACCAGATATGCCATCAATTAATTTTGGTAAATATTTTTGTAATAGTTTTTTTTTGTCTCCTAATTCGCGTTTTACTCTTTCAAAATAATCAGCTAATTCAACAAAACGTTTTTCTTTACCTAAGTAATCGGTCCAATTTGTTTCTGTTAAAGGAGGATCATCTGGGTTCAACGGGACTGGTGGATTGAGAAGTTTAGTATAAATATCAAAAAATTCTTGCAAACGTTCGTCTGAGGCATGTAACTTGTGTAAAGCGATAAGTCCATGTAAAGTATGATTAAAAAAAAACTTTTTGCCATATACAATATCAAAGGATGAGCTACCACATTTTTCAATTAATACTTTTAATGTGTCAATATTCGAGTTTTTAGATGACATTATAATTCGACGTTGCTTTATCTAAAGGAACGAACGTTTTCAAACAAAAGATACCGGTCTCCTCTTGCATACAATCGAGCAAAAAACCATTAATTAATTTTAAAGAGCTACACAAGACGGTTGCCACGCAAGTGAGTAACAGGAAGTGAGAAGAAAGATCGGAAAAAGTTTCTAATACATCACCCCAGTGAAAGTACTCATACGATGAGTACGACTTTACTCATAATT